GACAAGGGAGAGTGATGAAGGGACAAATGAAAGCCAAGAATGATTTGAGTACATAAAAAATGTCCTACTGTCCTAAATAAACCCATTTTATGTACTCTTACAAAAAAATAATCACAAACCCAGATTTTGTATACATTTTCCTATAACAAAATAACATTAAAACATTGAATACAGAAACAATCATCAGGACCTGTTAAGACAGAAATTAAATATAAGTGTAAAAGTATAAATCAATACTATTCTTCTCACTGTTTTTGGATTTTTAATAGAAATATTTATTAGTCATGGGGACTGGAGAGATGTCTTAGTGGTTAAGAGCACTGGCTACTCTTGCAGAGGATTGGGTTTGATTTTCAGCACCCACATGGCAGTGAACAACTGTCCATAGCTCCAGTTGCAGGAGAACCAATGCCCTCTTCTGACCTCCCACGGCCATTGCATGACACAGGTCGCTTACATACATGCAGGCAACACACTCATACACATAAGATATAAATAATAAATAAAACATTTTTTAAAAAGAAATATTAGTCATGGTAAGATGTAATTAGTTTTTCTGGTCATTTTAGTTTCATCTTTTTTTTTTTTTGAGCCAGGGTCTTATGTAGCCCAGATTGACTTTGAACTTGCTGTGTAACTGAAGCTAATCTTGAATCTTGACTCTCCTGCCCACTCCCAAGTGTTGGGATTACTGGTATGTGCTATAACGCTCAATTTATTTTGTTATTTTAAGCAAATTAGTACTGAAGTATTAAAATATTAAATCTTAATTTATATTTTCACAAAATAAATCTCAGTAGCAGTAACTCACACAAACATACATACCTTTTAATGAAGAGCGTTGAAGGGAACCATCTTCTTATATTTGCAAGGAACTTACCTACTTTCTGTGTTTACATATCTGCTGAAATAAACTCTTCCTTCATCCCCTTCTCCCACACCTATACACATTTTTCTACTTGCTTGTTTAATCCAACAATGGCTGTAGCATTCATAAAAGAAGTCCTCAACATCCTGATATGCTCCAAGTATAGCTACTTTTTCCCTAATTTTTAGATTTATTGATTTTTATTATATGTATGAGTATTTTGCTTGCATGTATGTACATTTACTACAAGTGTGCAATGCCCACAGAGGCCAAGGGAAGGCATCAGATCCTGGAATTACAGACGATTGTTAGCTGCCGTGGGTGCTTGGAACTGAACCCAGGTGCTCTACAAGAGCAGCCAGTGCTTTTAACTGCTGAGCTTTTAACTGACTGCTCTTAAAAGTAGTCTCCATTGTCTTTCTTTGAATTGACCATGACTGGGGTTTTTTTTTTTTTCTATTTGAGGCTGGATGGACCTCTGGCTTCCACATACTGGTTTACACACGTGCACATGCACCAGCATACATATATCACACGTATGCATACAACACACACATATACAGAAAGATAAGGGTAATAATAATAATAATAATAATAATAATAATAACAAAAACGACCTCTAGAGTTGTTAGTATGTTGCATATATGTTCATATATGCAAAAGTTAAAACACAGTAAGTGCTACAAGTACAATATTACTTCTGCTTATTACTAATACAAATAAGAAGAAAAAGAAAATTATCCAAAGGGCTCCAGTCACAAGTGCTTTTGTTCATGAATCGTTTAAATTCCCATACCTGCAATTACTAGGGGTGCATGTTTTATTTTAAAAGTCTTACCTGGTCGAGCATGGTGGCACATGCCTTTAATCCCAGCACTCAGGAGGCAAAGGAAGGGGGATCTTTGTGAATTCAAGGCCAGCCTGGTCTACATGGTGAGTTCCAGGCCAGCCAGGGCTACAGGGAGACCCTGTCTCATAAAGACACCCCCCAAAATGTTTTACCTGTTGCTTTTTGCATTGGCTGTGGTTATTATTTTGTTTAGGGAAAAAGTCTTTCACCTCTTTGTCAGAAGTATTTGTGATGCATTGTTTACAAATAATATTGTTCAATTTCAAGTATACAATAGCCATAACTACAAGTCTTGGATCTCCTAAATTATGCCAATATTAGTCTTCCGTGACCATATTTGCACTTTGTGCCATTTTGTTCAAGAAAGCATTCCTCCCTTTAGTCTGTGGCTCAAACTACTGTGTTTACTTTGTTCATCATCGAATCTTCTGTCTCAGTATTTTCTCACAAAATAAATTCTTAATTTTTGGTTTGGAAACACTTTGGAAAAAATAAAGCAGACTGTTTTTTCTGCAGTTTTACAACTCATGGCTATTTTAATTGAAAATAAGTCTTGTACTTTTTTCATCATCCTGCTAATGGTCTTCTTGTACATAAAACAAATCTAGCTCCATACTTACTTTGTCCATGAGAAGTAAATTCTTTCATCTTCTTTATAGGATAGGTGATCATTCTTAAGAAACTCTTCCAACATTTGGTGATGATGTATTGACTGTCATGGCTACTTTTCTACTACTTTTCTGTGGCTATTGTCTCTTGCTTCTTTACTTGTTTGAATCCTACTGATAATTTTTTTTACATCTAAACCTTTCTGAACCTGTCCAAATACCTAAAGACTAATTTATATCAAACTACATGCCTGCTGCTGTCTCCTCATAGCAGTCCAGCTCAGTTAACTGTGTTATCACTATGAAATTAAAATTTTATTTTGTTTGTGTATGTGTTTGTGTCTGTGTGTGTGTGCAGGTGCCCTTGGAGGCCAAAAGAGAGTGTCAGACCTTCTGGAGCTGGAGTTACAGGCAGTTGTGAGATGCCTGAAATGAGTGTTGGGAAGCAAACTCAGGTCCTCTGGAAGAGCGGCAAATGCTCTTAATCGCTGAGCCATCTCTCCAGCTCTCACTATGTAATTATTTCAAAAACTTAGTATGTATATTTGAGGGTCAACTTCTTTTTTAAAAAAATTGAATTTTTGTGCATTTTATGCAATGGATCTTGATCATATTTAGGCCCCCTCCCTTGTTTGCACTCCCCCAAAACCCTCCTACCAGATTTCATGCATTCTATCACATATGTTAAGACCTATTGATTTATGGCCCAAAATGTTCCTCAGTGTGAGTCCATGCAGTGGACCCCGGTCAGCCTATCTAGCATCACTCCCTTAATAAAGACCAATCCTCCCTCATCCAGCAGTGACTGACTGTCAATAGTTCCTGGGCTAAGATTGGGGTTTCTTACCCATTTCTCTAGTTCTATGCTGCATTTTTTGTTGGTTTACAACTTCTAGATAGTAAAATGATCTCTGCAGTGAGAAAAATTTTAGACGTATTATCTTACATACTTGTGTTTTGTGGCAAGAGCAGCTAAAATATACTTATTCAATAAAAATCTCAAATACGATACAGTTTTATTTACTGTAATCCTCTTGCTGTACATTAAGTCTCTAGACTTGCTCCTCCTACAAAGCTGCTACTTCGGTATTCCGTTAGAACTACTCTGCACTTGCAGTGAATGTTTCCTTTCAGAGTAACTGTGATGGTCCACCCTGCTACTTCCTTTTGCTTCCTAGCTTCATCCATGCCTTGACAGCACACAGAGAGTACACTAATGCTGTCTTTAGGGAAACCTGAAAAACCTAGTCCCTGCCTAGGACAGGGGATTTTGGGTCGGATGTCTGTCTCAGCTCAAAGACAAGCTTATAACTTTTAAAAAGTAACCTATATGTGAAATACTGTTTTTAAAAGAATAACATGAGTGCTGGGCATGGTGACATACACCTGCAATTCTAGCTCTTAGAAAGATTGATGCAGTAGGATTGCAAGTTCCAGGCCACCCTGTGCTACATGGCAAGAACTTGTCTCTAAAAAAAAAAAAAAAAAAAAAAAAAAAACAGACAAGTGTATCACTTCTCAGATTTTCTGCTGTTTCCAGTATTCCTGAGTCTCTGAAGCCCATTTGGCTTCATATCTTGGTTTCTGATCCTCAACTGAGATCTACCTGAGTGACCCATTCATTTCTTTGGGCAATAGTGTCTAGGTTTCCTTCAGACTTGATGTTTGGCATTTCTTGCCCAGACCTACATACCATACACAATTACAGGTAAGGGGCTGTCTTGATTTTTTTCCCCCCATCTGTCTGGTTTGCCTTAAAAAATTTTTTTATTGAGCTTTTAAAATTTCGTATAACATTCCCCACTCAAATCCAGACCCCCTTCCCTATCCATGCCTCCCCCATTGTCTTTTTTTTTCGTAAACATGTGAATTAATTAGAAGCTTGAACACACTGCACAAAAGGAGGAGAATACTAACCTAAATGGGGATATGTAAGCTAACTGCTAGATACAAGAGAGCTAGACTCAATCTACCTGTTCCATTAGGCTTTTCTCCTCATAGACCCACTGCAGCACCTCCAGCGTCAGTGTAACTATCTCTCAGAAAATAAAACTGGGAAATCTTTGGACTGGCTTCCTTATAAACATTACAAATGCTATACAATTTAAAACATTTAGGATATGCACATCTTAAGGAAATTTGAAAGCCGGTATTTCTAGAAACTTGTACTAAGGGAGGTATTAGAGGAGTGGTCCCGTTCATTCCACAGTATATGTTAGGATATTTTCTCAATTGGAATGAAATGATTATTCATGACTTCTATCATCTCATAACATTTGTTTTTTTCCTCAGGTATTTCTGACCAGAGCTGCCATGATTAGCTTGTCAAGAGGAATAGCCAGTCAGCATGTCAACATTCCAACAGCTTCCCCAGAAACTGGCCACAAGCCAAAGTCCCAAAAGCAAGTGGACATTGAGCATCATTTCTTCATCCTCCCATAAATGGTGGTTCCCTAGTAGTATGTTAAGTAAATAAGGAAAGACCTTAGTAGGTCCCATCCTCTATTACCTAATTCAGAAACAAGAGGAAGCTGGGCATGGTGGCATATTCCTTTAGTCCCAGAACCCAGGAAGCAGATCAAGGACAACCTGTTCTACGTACTGTGTTCCAGGCCAGTTGGGGCTACATGGAGACCCTGCCTCAAAAAACAAAGATAAAACCAAACAGACACAAGAGGAATGTAGGAAACAGGGTGTCTTACAGGGCAAAATGGAGAATATCTCAGTCACCATGGAAAATAGATTGCAATGGGTCAGATACAATGTAAAAGGAAATGTGTGTAGGGTTGAGTCATAAGGAAAACTTGGAAAAAAGTACATCAGTATAGTAAATATCTAAATCATTATAAAATACACAAATATTTCTTACCTGCTACTCATAAGAGGAAATATTCTACATTAATAGATTTTGGTTTTGTTTTTTGGGGACACGATCTCCCTGCAGCCCCAGCTGGCCTAGAACTTGCTATGTAGACTCAGTCTCTCAGATCTGTGTGATTCTGCCTTCTGAGGGCTGAGATTCAAGTCATATATCACCACACCCAGTTAGTAGTAGATTTTTAAATGGAAGATTTAAGTTGATACTTTGTAGAACTTGGGCAATTGTTGTAGATATACTAACACTCCTTTTTTCTCTATGATTTTTTTCTCCCAGTTCATTGTCCTAATAGTATTAAGCCTTCTTTATAGACTGTTTTTCTGATAACACTGTAGCTCTAGAAATGCCACATTCATTCAGAAAATGCTCTTTTATGAGACAGAGATACAGAATGTAAACTACATCAGCTTTAATTCAGAATTTTACTTTTTGTCCAAGCTTTCAAATAATAGGACTGATGTTATAGTCTCATAAGCTCTGTCGATTTGATAGGAATTGGCTATTAGTTTTAAATGTTAAAGAGAATAATGAATTTTTGAGTTGATACATGTTACTTTGGTTTAATGATGATCCTTCAGAGGTAATATTTGTGACACTTTTTAGAGTGATACTGTTATTTATAGTATAATGTTATTTGTGCATTGTAGAGTTTTGCCATTTTTATATTTTAATTATTATTTTTATTTTATGTATGAGTGATTTGCCTACATGTACGTAAGTGCAATACCCACAGAGGTCAGAAAAGAATGCTGTATTCCCTGGAACTAAAGTTATATATGGCTCTTAGTTGCCATGGGTGTGCTAGAAATGGAACCCAGGTCCTCCAGAAGAACAGCAAGTGTTCTTAACAGCTGTGTCATCTTTCCAGCCCTATATAACTTTGTCATTAAGGTGTATTAGATTGGTGGACTAGAACTTCCAGGTAAAATGGTGGAGTAAAAGCTGCATCTGAGCCAGTGGATAAAAAAGATAAAATAAAAATATAATAATTCCTATTTATACAAAAAGACTAAAGGATTCTACATATTAATAGAACAATTCATCAGGAAAATTAGAATATTTTAACATTATGCACCAAATTATCTGGGCTCCTAATTTCATAAAGCAAACACTAAAAGGCATGAAATGCCAGATAATATAATAGTAAAAGACTTTGATACTCCTATCTTAGTTAGCTATTTCAAACTGAAAATCATCAAAGAAACATCAGGTAAACTACAGCATATATCAACTGTATTTTACAGATAGATATAGAATAGTTCATCCAATAGATAGGGAATACACATTCTTCTCAGCAGCATATGAGACTTTAAAATATCATCACATTATAGGCCACAGAGAAAGACTTAAAAAATATAAAAAACTGAAGTAATGGGGCTGGAGAGATGGCTCAGCAGTTAAGAGCACTGACTGCTCTTGCAGAGGACCCAGGTTCAATTCCCAGCACCCACATGGTGGCTACGAACCGTCCTTAACTCCAGTTCCAGGGTAATCTGAAGCCCTCTTCTGACCCCGCGGTATTGCACAACATGGGTGCACTCACATACATACAGGCAATACACTCATACAATTGCATTTTATCAGAAAATAGTAGAATCAAACACAAATACTTGGTGCTCAGGAATACATTTTGGATGAACAGTGAGTCACTGAAGAAACCAGGAAGGAATTTTTAAATAAAAAATCCTAGAAATCAATGAAAATGGTAACACAAGCTACCACACCTTATAAAATAATAAAGGTGGTTTTAAGGGGAAGGATTATAACAACGAGTGCTCACATTAAAAAAAATCAGTGAGATTGCAAATAAATAGCCTAATTATGCTCCTTGAAATTCTAGAAAAAGAAGAAGGCAAATCCAAATACATTAAATGGGAAGAAATAATAAACATTAGGAATTAATAAAATTGAGACTAAAAGAACAATGTATAGAACCAAGCAAAGATTTAGTTATTTGAAAAGATAAATAAGATTGACAAACTAATCTAAAAATAAATAAGATTGTCGAACTAATCTAAACAGAGAGAAAATCTAAATAAATAAAATTGGATGTGAAAAGGAAGCTATTATAGGATAGTCTAATGAAATCTAGAGGGTCATTAGAAAAGATTTTGAAAACTTATATTCCAAAGACCTGGAGCTGGGGATGTAGCTCAATGGTAGAGTGCTTGTCTAGCAGTCTGAAAGTCCTGGATTTTATTTCTAACACTCCCCCCAAAAGCTGGAAAACTTGGAAGAAATGGATATAGTCCTAAACCCATATGACCTGCCAAAATTAAATCAAGAAGATATGAATAACTTAAAGAAAACCTTAGACTACAGCTAGATATGGTGGTGTATGCCTTTAATTCCAGCATTCTGGAGGTAGAGGTAGGTAGATCTCTGTGAAATAGAGGCTAGACTGATTTACATAGTGAGTTTTAGGCTGGCTGTGGTTACAGGGAGATCCTGTCTCAACAAACGAACAAACAAAAGCAAAACAAAACCCCATTAAACCAAAAAAAACAATGATATGGAATCAGGAATTAAAATTTTCCCATATATAAAACACAAGGTCTGGCTGGATTCACTACTGAATTCTAACAAAACTTTAAGAAAGTCTTAATATCAATACTTCTCTTTTTTCTTTTCACCAGTTCTTCTCAAACATTTCCACAAAACAGAAATGGAAGAAACACTGAAGAAGTCATTCTATGAAGTTAATGTTATCCTGAAATCACACTTCATTAGTGAACACAGATGCAAAAGTTCTCAACAAAATGCATGCAAATACCTTGAGAAGAACATACATGTGCTGAATAGCTTTAGTTGTCAACTTGGCACACCTTGGTAGATGGAACCTCAATTGGAAAATTTCCTACATTGGATTGGCCTGTGGCCATATATGTGGGGTATTTTCTTGACTTTTGGGTGATGTGGGGAGAGACCAGCCCATTGTGGATGGTGCCACCCCTGGGCAGATTGTTCTGTATTGTATAAGAAAGCAGGCTGAGCATGAGCCAGGGGAGCAATCCAGTAAGCAGTGTTCCTCCAAAGCCTGTGCTCCAGCTCCTGCCTCCAGGTTCCTGCCCTGAGTTCCTACTTTGGGTTCCCTGATGAACTGTGATCTGGGAGATATAAGGCAAATAAACCCTTTCTTCCCCAAGTTGGTATTGGTCAGAGTATTTTGTCACAGCAATGTAGAAACAAACTTGAACAATATATCATCACCAAGTTGGTTTCATCACAAGGATTCAAATTGGTTTAAAGCACACGTCAATAAATGCAATGCACCATATAAACTTTACAGACGTTATGGTAAGGGAAATAAACCCATTAGAAAAATAGAAATACTGTATGATTTCACTAAGATAAATATCTGAAGTAGTCAAATTCATAAAAGCTAATTATTCATATAATGGTGGTTACAAGTGTCTTAGTGATGGAGAAAAGCAGGTATTTTGATTTTTATTATTTTATTTATTATTATTTTATGTATATGAGTACATTGCCTGCATGTAAGTGTACCTGTGTCGTACAATACCTGCAGAGGTCAGAAGTGGGTGTTGGATCCCCTCAACCTGGAGTTACGGATGGTGCTTAGCCATCATGTGGGTATTGAGAATCGAACCCAGGTCTTCTGAATGGTCAGCCAGAGCTTGTAATCGCTCAGCCATCTCTCCAGACCCCTTTTTTGTTTGTTTTTTATTTGTTTGTTTGTTTTTTTTACAGAGTATAGAGATTTACCTTTTCAAGATGAAGAAATTCTAGAGATCCATTTCCCAATAATGTGACTATAGTTAACATTACTAAATTATTACTACATTTAAAAATCTTAGTATTGAGGGAGAAGGTGGAAATGAAGTTTCATTCGTAGCTAAGGAGCTGTTGGCATTTGATAACTTCTGGGAGAGGAAGAGTCAGTTTTCTTTAGTGGTGTAGTCAGTAGTAGGTCTACCACACTCCAAGGCAGGTTCCACACTCAAGTATTTGGGCAACATAAGTTGGACTTGAGGAGAGAAAAAACATGAACACAAAGTTGGGTGGGCATGGTGTATCTGGGAGGAGTTGGGGAAAGGGGATAAGACCAAAATAGATTGTATGAAACAAAGAATTAACAAAATAGTTTTCAAAAATCATAAAGTATTTTACACTCCTGTACACACAAAATATTTGACTCTGACCTAAGAACAAAATGAAGAGATTGGAAAAATGGGTTAAAAAATCAAATCATGTTGTTATGTGACTTTTCCTGGGTAGATATTAATAAATGTCTGTTCATCCTATGTAGGGCACTACCTACAAATGAAACAAATGATTCAGCCCAAGTCCAGCCTGGTGAATCAATGTATTTATTGGAGTTATTTATAGGAACAATGTTGACTTGGGCAGCTGCATCACTGAAAACTCAAACCTCAGCATAGGTGAGTCAGGCAGTTGATTCACTGAAAAGTCCCACCTCAACATGGGTGACCAATAACAGAAGCTGCATCACTGGAGTTCCACGGTCAGTCAACCTTCTGCTTCCTGTATTCTCTAGAACCTTTCAAGACCACCTCCAGATGAGAGACAGGAATGAGGGACTAGATGGTGGAATCTTGTGGGGGTCTGGTGCCCTTCCTTCTAAGAAGTAATGTTAACAGTCCAATTATGATTGTCATTGACCTAGTTATTACTGTATTATTTTTGCTTATTTTGTTACCATGATTGTGAGGCCAGCGTATTCTATAGGTTATCATAGCACTCTGGGTTTGATGATGGTGATAGTCTTGTTATGCTTGGAGGAAACAGCCATGCCACAACACATGTGCTGCACTGAGGTGTAATTGACAGATAAAAGTTATGTGTATTTAAAATGTACAATTTTTTCACAGTGTTGGGGTTGGGGCCCGGGACCTCATGAGTGCTAGCCACACCCAGCCCTCAGTGTGATGTTTTGATATACATTATGAAATAATCAATGTAACCAAGCTAACTAACATATACATCACTTCACACAGTTTGCATTTTGGGTGAGGGAAAACTAAGAGACTTACTTTAGATACAAATATGTGAATAGATTCAAAGTGAAAGAATGGAAAAGTACATATCATGTAAATAGCAGCTGAATGAAAATTGAAGCAGAGACATATCAGTGTCAGAAAAAATAGGTAAAAAATTCTTAAGAGATAAAAAGGACATTATAGATTGATAGAAGTTCAGTCCATCAAGAATATATAGTAATTACACACGTGCACAGCAAATAGCAGCATAGTAACATACCTGAAAGAAATGGACCAGCTGCCCAGAACTTCTGGCTGTGCTGACTGATGGAGGGCTTGTCTGGACAAAGCCAATATTCAAAGATTGGAGTGCATCCCTGCTCTTTCAGTGCCATACACATCAATGTAAGGCAACAAAAACTAAAAGGATATAGCTATAATACTGAAAAATTACAGAATAATTTCCCACTAGATTATCTCAAAGTCATGGAAACATTTGAATTGCCTGATAAAGAAGTCAAAATAATTTGTAACTAAGTTCAGGGAACTTCAAGAAGATATATAAACAGTTTAACAACATCAAGAAAGCAATAAACAAAAATGACCAGAATAAGAAATTCAATGGAGAGATTGAAATTATATGTAAAAATCAAACAAATGAGCTAAAAATAATATATAGTAAAACGGAAAATTGCAATATAGAGTATCAACAGCCAAATTAATCAAGGATT